CTCTCTCGCTCTCTCCCTTGTTCGCTCTCTCGCTCTCTCACTCGTTCGCACTCTCGCTCTCTCACTCGTTCGCTCTCTCGCTCTCTCACTCGTTCGCTCTCTCGCTCTCTCACTCATTCGCTCGTTCGCTCTCTCGCTCTCTCACTCGTTCGCTCTCTCGCTCTCTCACTCATTCGCTCGTTCGCTCTCTCGCTCTCTCACTCATTCGCTCGTTCGCTCTCTCGCTCTCTCACTCGTTCGCTCTCTCGCTCTCTCACTCATTCGCTCGTTCGCTCTCTCGCTCGTTTGCTCTCTTGCTCTCTCACTCGTTCGCTCTCTCGCTCTCTCACTCGTTCGCTCTCTCGCTCTGTCACTCGTTCGCTCTCTCGCTCTCTCACTCGTTCGCTCTCTCGCTCTCTCACTCGTTCGCTCTCTCGCTCTATCAATCATTCGCTCTCGCGCTCTCACTCGTTCGCTCTCTTGCTCTCTAGCTCTCTCACTCGTTCGCTCTCTCGCTCTCTAGCTCTCTCACTCGTTCGCTCTCTCGCTCTCTAGCTCTCTCACTCGTTCGCTCTCTTGCTCTCTCACTCGTTCGCTCTCTCGCTCACTCACTCGTTCGCTCTCTCGCTCTCTCACTCGTTCGCTCTCTCGCTCTCTCACTCGTTCGCTCTCTCGCTCTCTCGCTCTCTCACTCGTTCTCTCTCTCGCTCTCTCACTCGTTCGCTCTCTCGCTCTCTCGCTCTCTCACTCGTTCGCTCTCTCGCTCTCTCACTCGTTCGCTCTCTCGCTCTCTCACTCGTTCGCTCTCTCGCTCTCTCAACGTTCGCTCTCTCGCTCTCTCACTCGTTCGCTCTCACGCTCTCTCAACGTTCGCTCTCTCGCTCTCTCACTCGTTCGCTCTCTCGCTCTCTCAACGTTCGCATTCTCCCTCTCTCACTCGTTCGCTCTCTCACTCGTTCCCTCTCTCGCTCTCTCGCTCTCTCGCTCTCTCACTCTCTCGCTCTCTCGCTCGTTCGCTCTCTCGCTCTATCACTCATTTGCTCTCTCGCTCTATCATTCATTCGCTCTCTCGCTCTCTCACTCGTTCGCTCTCTCGCTGTCTCACTCGTTCGCTCTCTCGCTGTCTCACTCGTTCGCTCTCTCGCTCTCTCACTCGTTCGCTCTCTCGCTCTCTCACTCGTTCGCTCTCTCACTCGTTCGCTCTCTCACTCGTTCGCTCTCTCGCTCTCTCAACATTCGCTCTCTCGCTCTCTCACTCGTTCGCTCTCTCGCTCTCTCGCTCTCTCGCCCTCTCACTCGTTCGCTCTCTCACTCGTTCGCTCTCTCGCTCTCTTGCTCTCTCGCTCGTTCGCTCTCTCGCTCTATCACTCATTTGCTCTCTCGCTCTATCACTCATTCGCTCTCTCGCTCTCTCACTCGTTCGCTCTCTCGCTCTGTCACTCGTTCGCTCTCTCGCTCTCTCACTCGTTCGCTCTCTCGCTCTCTCACTCGTTCGCACTCTCGCTCTCTCACTCTCTCGCTCTCTCGCTCTCTCGCTCGTTCGCTCTCTCGCTCTCTCACTCGTTCGCTCTCTCGCTCTCTCGCTCGTTCGCTCTGTCACTCGTTCGCTCTCTCGCTCTCTCGCTCGTTCGCTCTCTCACTCGTTCGCTCTCTCGCTCTCTCGCTCGTTCGCTCTTTCGCTTTCTCGCTCGTTCGCTCTCTCACTCGTTCACTCTCTCGCTCTCTCGCTCGTTCGCTCTCTCGCTCTATCACTCATTTGCTCTCTCGCTCTATCACTCATTCGCTCTCTCGCTCTCTCACTCGTTCGCTCTCTCGCTCTATCACTCATTCGCTCTCTAGCTCTCTCGCTCGTTCGCTCTCTCGCTCGTTCGCTCTCTAGCTCTCTCGCTCGTTCGCTCTCTAGCTCTCTCGCTCGTTCGCTCTCTCGCTCTCTCACTCGTTCGCTCTCTAGCTCTCTCGCTCGTTCGCTCTCTCGCTCTCTCACTCGTTCGCTCTCTAGCTCTCTAGCTCTCTCACTCGTTCGCTCTCTAGCTCTCTCACTCGATCGCTCTCTAGCTCTCTCACTCGTTCGCTCTCTAGCTCTCTCACTCGTTCGCTCTCTATCTCTCTCACTTGTTCGCTCTCTTGCTCTCTAGCTCTCTCACTTGTTCGCTCTCTCGCTCTCTCACTCGCTCTCTTGCTTGCTCTCTCGCTCTCTCACTCTCTTACTTTCTTACTCGCTTCTCACTCTCTCACTCGCCTGTCTGTCTGTTAAAGCTTGTTTGTGGTTTCGAACCTTTGTACATGCCGTCGGGAGTCACCACCTCACCGTATTCCCCCAGACCGCTCCTCACATCCCAGGCATTGACGCTTGCTTCTCAGGTGGATTGCGACCATGCGAAACGAATTCAGAGGGTCAGTCTGAGAGCGCGCGCATGCACAATGATAATTCGGCCAGGGACCGGTGTCCAGGATGCGATGGCGAATCGAGATTGCGAAGGGGAAGCAGGGAGCAGACCTGGATATGGGGCGTAGAAAACAGAGCAAAGCAAGCGGGTGTTGATGAGAGGGGTTAGGGTTGAAGCGTTAGGGTTAGGGGTTGATGGGCTGCAGGGAGGGAGTGATGAGATGGAGACGAGAAGGATGAGGCGATGGTGAAGAGGAGAGGGGATGGTGCAGGAGACGACGACGGTGACGACGACAGCAGTGTGGAATTCCGTCGAGAACACCAGGGGGACAGGGGCAGGAGCTGGAGCAGGAGGTGCCCGTGCAGGCTCCGAGGTTGGTGCCTCGTCTGTTTCGACGGGGACGGGTGCGGGAACAATGACAGCGGTGGTCACGGGAGCATCGGGAAGCGGAAGCGCGATAGAGAGTGTGGTGGTGGCGGCACGGGGTGAGAAGAACGGAGTGGCGAGGGGCGAGGAGAATGTGGACGAACCGCGGGAGGGTGGGCAGGAGTCGGTTATTGTGGAGAAGCGCGGGGAGCACGCAGCCGTGTGTAAGTGGACGATCAGCCAGTTTGCGAAGATGAAGGCGCGGGCGCTGTGGAGCCGTTACTTTGAGGTAGGCGGGTACGACTGCCGATTGCTGGTATATCCTCGGGGCGATTCGCAGGCACTGCCAGGGTACTTGAGCATATATCTGCAGGTGACGGATCCGCGGGGATCGTCGTCTTCGAAGTGGGATTGCTTCGCGAGCTACAGGTTGTGCGTAGTGAATCAGAAGGATGAGACGAAATCCGTTCAGAGGAACTCGTGGCATCGGTTTTCTGGGAAAAAGAAGTCTCACGGTTGGTGTGATTTCACGCCATCGTCGACGGTGCTGGACGGGAAGGGCGGGTTCGTGGTGAACGAGGCGGTACTGATAACGGCCGAGATTCTGGTTGTGCATGAGTCAGTGTCGTTTTCGAGGGAGAATGAGGTGCCTGCCAGCGGGGGGCTCGTCCCGGAAGTGCTGAGCGGGAAATTCACGTGGAAAGTGCACAATCTGTCGCTGTTCAAGGAGAAGATCAAGACGCAGAAGATCATGAGTCCCGTGTTCCCCGCCGGCGATTGCAGTTTGAGATTGAGCGTGTATCAGTCGTCGGTGAGCGGTGCAGATTATTTGTCCATGTGCATGGAGAGCAAGGACACCGAGAAGTCGAGCGTCCCGGAGCGTAGCTTCTGGTGTCTGTTTCGGATGTCGATGCTGAATCAGCGGGCCGGGATGAACCACATGCACCGGGACTCGTACGGGCGATTTGCTGCGGACAACAAAAGCGGCGACAACACCAGCTTGGGATGGAACGATTACATGAAGATGGCGGATTTTGTGGCTCCGGAGATGGGGTACTTGGTAGAAGACACAGCCGTGTTCAGTGCTTCGTTTCACATGATCAAAGAGTCGAGCACGTTTTCGAAGAATGTAGGGCCGTTGGCGGGCAGGGGCAATGTAAAGAAGAGCGATGGGTATCAGGGGAAGTTCATGTGGCGAATCGAGAACTTCACTCGGTTGAAGGAGCTTCTGAAGAAGCGGAAAATCACGGGGCTGTGCATCAAGAGTCGGAGGTTTCAAGTCGGCAACCGGGACTGCCGACTCATCGTGTATCCGCGAGGTACATTCTTTGGCCGCTGTGGCACTCGCAATGCAGGGCCGCTTTCGGACGTTGGTGTGCACTTTGAATGTGGGCTGCTCGTGTGGGTGGGATGGGTGAGAGGTGGTCGTGCGCGGAATGCTGGTGCATCTGGGTCGTGGCAGAGTCATAGGCGTGTCGGAATGGCGAGGCGTTGTGGATTGAGTGTGTTGTACTCGTGGGACAAGTTGGTTCGCATGGTCAGCAGGTGGAGTGCGGCGTGAATGGAATGTCGTGTTTGTGACCGTGGCTTTGGTTGGTGCTGTATTGACAGGACAGTCACAGCCCCCGTGCCACCTGTCGATGTTTCTGGAGGTTACGGATCCTCGCAACGCTTCCGCGGATTGGAGCTACTTTGTGAGTCATCGTTTATCGGTGGTGAACCAACGGACGGAGGAGAGATCGGTAACGAAGGAATCCCAGAATCGATATTCGAAGGCGGCGAAGGATTGGGGGTGGCGGGAATTCGTGACTCTTACCAGCCTGTTCGATCAAGACTCTGGATTTCTCGTGCAGGACACCGTCGTTTTCTCCACGGAGGTGTTGATCCTGAAGGAGACGTCGTCAATGCTGGAGCTGCCCGAGTGCGAGGGCGAGGCAGCAGATGCAGGGGGAGGGTCCGACACGGGCAGAATTGTGAACCGCGGGAGTTTTACGTGGCGCGTGGAGAACTTTCTGGCTTTCAAGGAAATCATGGAGAGTCGGAAGATATTCAGCAAGTTCTTTCAGGCTGGAGGATGCGAGTTACGCATAGGTGAGCTGCTAAACGGCTGGTAAAATCAGCTCTGTGGACGGGCGCACTGCAGTCGGCTCACCTGCATGACGCTGCAGAAGGACGAGTTGGATTGTGGTTGATGTTGTTCCATGGTTGGGACGGGGTTAGGATGTCGAGTGATGAGACAGGATGAGGGCTTGGGCAAGAAGCATAGATGGGCCCACGTGGTAGTCCACACGTGGGTCCAGTGAGAGAGTGTCGGGAGTGTTCGGATGGTCCGGTTGTCGTGACGCAACGGTGGTTGGTTGTGTGGGGTGGTCCTGATTTGGTCCATAGTGGTGGTTGTGTTGCAGGTGTGTACGAGTCGTTTGATACGCTGTGCATATATCTGGAGAGTGACCAGTCGACGGGATCGGATCCGGACCGAAATTTTTGGGTGAAGTATCGCATGGCAGTGGTGAACCAGAAGCATGCGGATCGGACGGTGTGGAAGGGGTCTTCGATCTTGACGAAGACGTGGAACAACTCGGTGCTGCAGTTCATGAAGGTTTCGGACATGGTGGAGGCGGATGCCGGGTTTGTGGCCCGAGACACGGTCGTGTTTGTGTGTGAGATACTGGACTGCTGCCCATGGTTTGAGTTTTCTGACCTGGAGGTGAGAGCTCCACGGAGGTGTTAATACGTCGGACTGATGGTTTGCAGCGGTTGTGAGAGAGCAGGTTGGAGGGATGTGGTACCCATGGTAGAGACAGGGTCGAGGAGGCGAGGTGATTTGGCAGTGTTAGGTGGGGGTGGCGTCGTTGGAGGTTGTGTGGTGTGGGCATGTTGGATGATGATGATGATGAAGATGTGGTGTTTGGTTGGGTTGCAGGTGCTGGTATCTGACGACGAACAAGATGCGGTATCGACGGATCCAGAGGAACTACTGGACTCGGACGACAGTGAAGGCATGAGCGGCGACGAAGAAGATATGTTTCGAAGCCTGCTGGCACGCGCGGGCTTCCACCTGAGCTACGGGGACAACCCACCGCTTTTGTTGGATCCATCGCAGCTTCAGATGACGCTGCGGGAGAAACTGGTGATGGATGCGGGAGCCGTGGCAGCCTTCCTAACAGGTACATTGAGGGAGAAGGGCGAGTGGTTCGGTTGTGGCGTGAGTTTCTTTGGCAGAGCCGGTTTGCGTTGGCATCCCGTAGTGGTGCGGGCCGGCGACGTTGATGAATGCGAGGATGCGGATGTTCTCGGGCGAGCTTGGTCATGGCGAGAGAAGTTGCAGGGTGAGGTCGTCGTGGTGCGGGAGATGTTATGAGAGGAGTTGGTTTTGGAAGTGCGATGCGGTGTTTGTGGCGCATTGGCTGAGTTCCGGGGGTTGTGGGATGCGGATTGTAGGGTTGAGAGTGTACTTGGATGATCCATGGAGGGTGAAGCGGTTGCTTTTGCCAACCAAGAGTTCGACTACAAGTGCGGGAGGAGGGGGAGGCAAGAGCGCAGCGGGGAGAGGGGAGGCATCTTCTCCGAGTCTGATGAATCTGTTGATGGGAGTGAAAGTGTTGCAACAAGCTATCATAGATCTGCTATTGGACATAATGGTGGAGTGCTGTCAGCCATCGGAAGGGAAGAAGGGGAACGATGCACCCGCGGAGAGCAAACGAGGCGGAGCTGTGGAGGCCAACAATGTAAGTGGGGTGTTGTGGGCGCATGGTGAGTGGAGAGTTGGGGAGGGCCTGGGAGTGGGCGAGAGGGTGAAATTGGCGGGCGGTAGTCACGTAAGGTTCAGCGATAGAGAATGGAGAGGCAATCGCACTCGACGACTGAGGTGGGCATGGGAGGCAGGTTTGGAGAGGAGTGATGGAGATGAAGCAGTATTGAGTGGAGGTGTGGTGGTTTTCGTGCTGTTCAATTGAGGAGGGTCCTGAGCGGAAGGCATGGAGTAGCTGCATTGGTGCATGCTGATGGGGATGTTGGGCTTGGGGCTGGTGACGAGTAGGCGGAAACAGGAGAGTTGGGCAAGTAAGAGGAGCGATGGAGTCGATTTGGTTGGGAATGGTCCCCGCAGCAGATGCGTGTTGTGTGTGGTGATGCAGTGTGGGGGTTGTAGGCTGATATGAACGACGGCTTGGAATGGATGATTTGGATAGTGATTAGCGTGGGTGATTGAACTGGCAGGGTTCCAAATTGGTGGCCGCAGGTGGAGCGGAGTGGCGAAATGGCGGTTCAGGCGCAGAATGCCGGGATAGTGGACTAAGCTTAATCGAGCAGCGACTAGAGGTAGAAGGCGATGGATGTTCAGGAGCACAGGCCGTGCAAAGCAGCGACTCGTTGGCCGTAGATTTGCCAGTGGGCAGGGCTGCTGCTCTTCCTGTGTCGTCCGTGCACTCCGAGGCTGCAGCGAGGCAGGAGTGTACTGTTCCGGATTCTAAGAGAGATAATGTCTCGAACCATGGGCTCAAGGTAGTTTGGAGAAGGGCAGTTGCCGCGTTGAGCGTGATCGAGTCGGAGCAGGAGGGTGTGGTTTTGGTTGCAGCGAGGTTTGCGGGTGCGTGTTAGGTTTGTGGAGGAGTTTTCACAGTTGACGTGGGTGAGGACCGTTGAATGCGTAGTTGTTGTGACCATGGTTGAGTTGGGTTGGAAGACGATGTACGGGATGATGTCTGAGTGTGGATGTGATGGGCGGCGTGTGCAGGCGAAATGGCCCGAGCAATCCGACGAGCTTTTGGGGCTGATAGTGAATTCATTGAGAGCTGTGGAAGGAGCAGTAGCCCAGGGTGGTCCCGAGCCCCGGCGGAGGCCACAGTCAGCGCAGAAGATTACGGTGGTGCTGGAGAAGGCTCCGAAGCATTTACGGGCAGATGTGATAGGTCTGGTGCCAAAACTTGTGGATTTGTCGGAGCATTCTTCGGTTGCGTGCTCTTTGCTGGAACGGCTTCAGCGAGCGGATGCAGATGCTGGCTTACGATCACAGGTTGGTGTGGTCGGTGGGATGTTTGTGCTCGTTGTGGGGTCGTTTGTTTCCGGACTTGGTCTTGTGTGTGGAGCCTCCACGCAGGCAGCGGGGTGTGGAAGTGGGCGGGGGCTTAGAGCGGGGTTAGGGAAGTGGTGGGCAAGTTAAGGAGGGACGAAACGGTGCATGGGAATGGGACTGGTGTGGACTGCAGGATCGTGTTGAGGGTGTTGTGAAGTGGTGGGACGAGCGTGCGTGAGGGGTGGAGCAAATGGCATGGGAAGGTGCGGGAGAGAGGGGCGTAGGGTGAGCGCGGGTGGTGGTACAGCGTGAAGTAAGGGTGTGTGGGTGGGTGTTGTGGCAGATGTTGGGAGCATTGGGTGAATTGGAGGTGAACAGTGACATATGGGAGCAGGTGCTCCAACAAGGCCTAGATGTTCTGCCGGACTTAGTGGACGAACCATTGGCAGTAGTGACGAGATTGGTGTTGAAAGCTGCTAGCAAGAGCCAACAGTTGGGACGAGCGGTACGTACCCCGGTCACGTGCACAGCGAGGGTCTCCCGTGGTGTGGTTATTTGTTGTTGGTGAGGAGTCCTTGAGGATCCGACAGGAGCGGTCGGAGTGGGTGGTTGTGTTTTGGTGGTTTGAAGTTACATACCTGGGGTGTGATCAGGTTGCGGCAGTGCGGAGAAGCTTGAAAGAGCTGGGCCCGACCGTCTCTCCGCGGGTGCTGGATGTGGTGCGGAGCAGTGCGAGCAGCAACCTAGACGTGGCGGAGGCACTACTGCGGGACATCGATGGTGATTGCGATCAGAGCGAAATGGAGATGACAAGTGCGGGAATGAACACAGTGTTCAGAGACAACCGAGATGGTGCCGGAGCATCCCAGCTCCAGGTGTTTTGGTTTCCCTTGATGGTGTTGATTTGAACTGTCGTGTCGCATTGATGGAGGGCGTGGGTGGCGTGGATGTGGTTGAGAGTGTTGGCGATTTCGGGTTACTGAAGTGTGTGGGGGTGGAGGGAATCTTGTTTGCAGGCAGCGGCCGAGAAGGTAGCAGCATGTTGTTGGAGGGTTGCAGACGTGGACTTTCTGGTGGAAATGTTGACGGTGCCGACGTTGAGAGTGGAGGCCCAGCGCGTTTTCGAGCGAGCGCTTGCTCGGGGAGCTTTTGGGGAGCAATCAGTAGTGATGGTGCTGGAGAGGCGGCGTTCTCAACGGGTGATTGTGGGGGGTCGTGTGGGTGGCAGCGCAGCGGCATCCCACGCTGAGGATTCATTGATGCCTGGCACTCCTGGCGGAGGAGTAGAGCAGCTGCCTCGTGGGGAAGAAGATGGCGACTTTGCAGCAGTTCTTGAGCTGGCGAAATCTCTGGCCCTGTCTGGCGATGTGAGAGTTCGGGAGTTCGTGTCGACGATGTACGCCGTGATGTTCAAGGTTTACGGAGACGAGGGGTATCACGAGCGTATGCTGAGGGGGCTTGTGGAGCGAGCGACTAGTAGCAGCAGCGGTCTGCACAAGGTGGAGTTGGGAACGGACATATTGTCATTTTTGGTGCGGGAGGAGGAAGGGGCGGCAGGTCCGGTGTTGGGCATGGTCTGCAAGGCGGTTGAGGCGGCGAACGGGGAGCGGAACGCGTTGTGGCAGCAGGTACGAGCTCGGGAAGAGGAGACGTTGCGGGCGAGAAACGAGCGGCAAGTGGAATTGGGTCGGGTGTCGCGAGAGAAGAGCGTGCTGTCACAAAGGCTTGAGGATGCGGACGTAGCGCAAGGGCGGTTGAAGGTAATTGGGCTTCGGTGGTGGGTTGTTGGAAATGCGAAGACGTAAGACGGAGTGGGGTGGAGGAGTGGTAGAACAATGAGTCGGGTGGTCAGTTCAAGAGCGTGGGCTGGGAGTTTCGGGCGGCTAGGGTGATGGTGTAGTGTAGTTGGTGGGTTTGCATTGGCAGGAGGATTGTGTGTTTCCTTGTTGGAAGTGGCATAGATGGAAAGAGAATGATCTGCGGTCCCAGAACTCGCGTGCGGTTGTGGTGGCTGTTGTGGAGGCAGGGTCGGATGCCTGTGGGTATGACGCAGGGGTGGTGAGTTGGGACCGGGAGGTGTGCTGGGAGCGTGGGGGGAGGTGTGGGTTTGGTCGGGATGGGTTGGTCTTAATGAGTGGGTGGATGTGTCGACAGGCGGAAATGAGAGCAGAGCTGGACAGAATGGGGCGTGAGAAGAAAGACATGGCGGAGCGGATTCGGGAAGTCGAGAATCAGCTGGAGTGGGTTCGGTCTGAGCGGGAGGAGGAGATTGGAAAGCTGGTGATCGAGAAGAAGGGAGTACAGGATTGGCTCAGAGACACGGAGGGTCAGATTGCGCAGCTGAAGTCGCGAAAACGAGATGAGCTGAAGGTAGGCATTGAAGGGCAGGATGAAGATAAAGGGATGGGTGTGGATTTGGACATGTGGTGTTATGGGTTGCGTTTGTAGGCAGCTTGTCCACATTGTGGCGGGCATGGATGCGTGAACGAGAGTGTGAGGGAGTGTGAGATGGACTGAGAGTGGATGAGACTTGCAGAGAGTGATGAAGGAGAAGAATGCGTTGGCTGAGAGGTTGAAAGGCGCGGAGTCTGCGAGGAAGCGATTCGACGAGGACATCAAGCGGTATGCGACGGAGTCGGTAACTCGAGAAGAGTTTCGGCAGTCGCTGGAAGACGAGGTGCGGCGGCTGACTCAAACGGTGGGGCAAACGGAGGGAGGACTGAGAGAGAAAGAGGAGCAGGTGATGCGGTGCGAAGCGTACATCGACGGGATGGAGTCGAAGCTGCATGCTTGTCAGGTACGTGGTGGAAAGTGGGTTTGTGTGGAAGGGGGAA